AACTTTGCTGCAGACCAGTTGCCCTGTAATTGTTCATTTCCTGTGCCAGTGGAAATCACACAAAATAACCTTAACTGTCTTGTAAACTAGTGAAAAACATGCCAGTCCCAACAATCTTGAAGCCTGCGCATGCAAAGTAAATGCATAAGGCAGGTGTCAGATTTGCCAACATTAACATTCACACATCAGAACTGCAGCTTACTGTTGATGCAAGCTGTCAGTTGCAGATGAAAGCCCACAATGTACACACAACACTGAATGAGTACATCAAACGCAGTTGGTCATCCACCATTTTTAGTGCTGTTGCTTCATATCACAAGCCCAACATGGGCACAACAGAAAAAACATTCCACATGAAATCAACAGCTCACAGCTTCGCACCAAGCGCTCAGTAGTTCATCGATGAAACCTTTCAACTCCTGGTCCAGAAATTTATTAGCAGGGTTTGAAAAAAAATTGTAATACATACATCATCATCAATTTCCACTTCTGCCATTAAGCGTTGTGGGGAGGAACAGTTTCGATCCGTTGCTTGATGGAATACATACATATTGTATTTAATAAATCAAAGTTTTACTGTACATGGGGTTGTGGAGAGGGACCGCATAGCCTTCTTGTATATTTCCTAGGGGAAAAAATCCACGGGGGGAGGGGATAGGCGATAGGCTACAACTCTTAATTTTTTTTTTAAATCATTATCCTGTTATCTTCCTTGAAACCACATGTGTGTGAAACAATACATTTGTCTGTCTCCCAAACTGTTAAATATTGGTATTAGTATTGCAGGAAGTGCACTTGAGGGCAAGTGCTGGAGACAAAGATGGAGTAGAAACAGGATATTAAACACAGTTGAGTCTGGATAAGAAGTCACAGGGATCTACGGATATTGTTTGACTTATCAGGAGTTCTACTTATCCAGATAGCAGATACAGTAGAGAATGTTCACTAGTGCCATGCAGTAGCATTGAATAAAATAGTTGTACCGCTTAGTTGAACACCATAAATAAACCAACAAAAAGCAATACATTATCAAAAATGTTGAAATATTTAATAAACTTACTGTCAATTCTTCTTCTTCTGCGTTCGACATCAGTCATGCTAAACATTGAGTCCCGTCTGGGTCACAAATAGGATTGTGCGTTTAAGGTCGCCACCGGTCCCCCATAGCTTCTCTTGCAATGTGGCTCCCTTGGGCCAGATCCACAGTCTTTGCTGGGAGAAGTTAGGGCAGTACTGTAGTATATGCTCAGGGGTCTGTCTTTCTGCTCCACAATCACAGGCAGCAGATTCTTTTATGCCTATCCTGTACATGTGTGCTCGAAGACCACAGTGACCTGTCCGAAGTCTAAAAATTGATGTTTGTTTTTTCCTGTTGAGTTTGTTTATGTTGTCACTCTCTGGTCTGTAATCTCTATTCTGCCTTCTCCACTCCCGCTTGAAAGACTGCTTTAGTGTTGTTTTGGTTTCTTTGTAGCTGTGTGGTGGATGAGGTTGTGGAAGATTACTTCCAACTTTTGCCAACTCATCTGCTCTCTCATTTCCTTGAATACCACAATGGGCTGGTATCCACTGCAAGACCAGTTCTGCTTCCTTGGAGAGTAAGCCGATGTTGGTCCTTAGATCACTGTCAATTCAAAATCCAGGGATGCTAATAAATTTTACAACAATCAGAAGGAAAAGGGGAAAAAAAAACTGAAAATCCAAAGAAAACACAGGAAAAAAAACCACACACCACCAGTCTCATGCTAAAACGCTACCACGTTCTCCCTCACCCTTCCCAGCTATAAGTTTTTTTGAAGATTTGACAACAGTCAGAGGGAAAAGACAGTTATGGGCCAGTAAATTTGGTAAACCAGAAAAAAAGCTAAGGAGAGGGAAAGAAAGAATATTCAGAATCTGCATCACATCACTCTGGACACTCCCATAAGTGCTCAATCCCGATCTTCAACAGCAAGCGAAGAGTTCAAAATTCCGATGGCACCAGTAACCGTCTGACTGGATATCCATCTCATCCTTTCCCTAAGTGTTGAGCGCCGGCCGGATCTGGTAACTCCTCGCATCGCCATTCTCCTCAGACCGTAATGATCTGTCTGCGCCTCCGCACTGTTCACTCGTTCCCAAAGGGCCCTCACAATATCTACTTGTCATACAGCCAAAAAAAAAGGAGAATATTTAGCATAAGGAAGACTCAGATGAAGATAGACGAGAGGGGGAAAAGGAAGGGTTCTTTTCTGTTCAGCGACCACATCACGCGTGATTTAAGGATATTCAATATTATAGCAGGGTTAGGGTTAGTGTCAAATGAATGGCGACTACTACTAACCCTAACCCCCCTCCCCCACCTCCCTTATAAAATGGGATATTCCTAAATCATGTGTGATGTGGTCGCTAAACAGAAAGGAGATAAGATGTAGAAAAGAGAAAGAGCAGAAAAGGGGCAAGAAATTAGGGAAGTTAGAACGCTGGTCGTCAAAAGCACTGTAAACATAAGGCGCACCATAAATCGAACTGGGCAATCTAAGATTTCACACTGATCCACTACAAGTAAGGACTATAGCAGAGCAGCACATTAAAAACCTTGAACCCTTATGCTCGGATCTATGGATATCGCAACCTTTCGGCCTTAATCCAATTATAAATACCGTAAATCTGGGAGAAATGTGGCTTCTCTGCCTACCCCTGGGCGTGAACCCGGACCACAAAGAGTTCGTCACCCGGTCACCTCGCAGTCCGGCTTTGCCAACTGCGCTAGAGAGCCGGACCGAGAACCAGCCCTAACATGACAAGTCAGACAACTTAAAAATGCCAGCATATAACAAATTATGGAGATTAAGACTTGGATGCCGAATTTACAGCACCCTTATGATTAGACCGCTTTCAGGAAAACACAATAGACCATTTCCTGCTAACGTGCATCCTATATAAACAGGAAAGAAAACCATTGGAAGACTATTTTCAAAACGAAAATAAGTCATTGAAATCCAAGGAATGCTTACATGTTGACAGTAATGAGAACATCATCATCATCATGTAGCAGGTCCTTTGCAGAACGTCGCTCTCATAACGTTCTGCCTGAAGGAAACTGGGTCTCTCGCCAGCTCTCCCGCCATATGTAATTTCACACTCAAGGACTCACTTACATCCTGTGCTCATCTTCATGTTGGTCGGCCCCTGCTCCTCCTTCCCGGTACCAGGCCTTCTGCTAAAATTTTGTCCAATGCGTCGTAGCGCTTGATATGACCAAAATATTTAAGCTTCAGAGACAGGATGCTGTTTATTAGCCAATCTTCCTTGATGTTCAGATCTTTCAAGATGTCAGAAAGAAATAAAAAAGAGATAATTGAAATACTTTGGCTACATTAAAAGTCATAACACACTTTTTAAAACTATACCGGGGGTAAGGTCGAAGACAAGAGAGCAAGATGTAGGCAACAATACAGGTGGGAAGACAACATCAGGAGATGGACGGGCAGCAGTCTGAGAATGTACACCAGGACAAGAAACACATCATGTTGGAGATCCATTGCAGCCAACCTTAACTGTGAACACGGCACCTGATTGATGATAATTGCTCACTATGTCTGGGATAATTAAGTTGGCGGCTTTCCTCGAGCATCTTATTTCACAGGTGGCAATTTTATATAGGGTAACCTTTGATAATAACCAAGTTTGTTTTGTGACTTGTAGCACAGGGTTGGTACGAATTTGCTGTTTATAATGTGTTCCTTGTTGTTGATGTTTATGCTCATGTCTTGATAAAGGCATCAGTTGGTAAATAAGTGCACTTGCTCGTTGTCATCTTGTTTTTATTTCCCGATCTATTTCCCCGTCCTCCAAGAATATACCTCCTGAAAAGCCTTACATTCTTAACTTGTTCCAGGCGAGTACCATCAACCCTTTATGTAGCATTTACTAAAAACTTTGCTGGCCTGTCTGTCCGCTAACAGTTCAGATACCAAATATCTCACGTCTCCCCTTTCCGTACGTTTCTGCTCTTTTCATACCTTTTCAGAATCGTGCTTTTCTTTTAATTTCTTCCACAATTCTCGAGCCATAATTGTCTAACAAATAAATTTCTCACTGCTTTGCTGGACCTGATGTTGGAATCCATTAAATATAATTCGCAAAAGAACGGAAGATTCCGGATAAAAAGGATTTATCTGGGAACCCCAGTGCAGAGTCACATGTGAACAGAAATCAAGATGACAACATAGACTGGTTGGCGGGTGGAGTCAAAAGCTGGGTCACTCCTGGCCAAAGTGCGATAGTCCATTCGACGATGATGCATAGAGTGCACAAAGTTCATCTTCCAGAGGACAGGGTGGCTCTTGGATGAGCAGTTCTATCCACAACATTAAGGAGCTTATATACTTAGCTGTTAACCCATTTTTTCCCACGAAAGCAAAAATCAGAAAGACACCCAAAAATTCTGATCTGGATGGGGATGGGCCCGCACCCAGAGTGTCAGGTAGTAAAGGGGGTCACATTCGGCAAAAAAAAAAAAAAAAAGACGGGGAGGGGGAGGGGGTTGGAGGAGGGGACTGGGCTGGGCTTCTTATAAAAGTCGAAATCCTCTTATGTGCTCGCTCCCTCGTGGAGTTTTCACTACTATCACCATTCTGTTTCTGTAAACTCTGGAAATCCAGATAGTTCGTTGACAATGCGCTTGCCTGGCCGCTCTATATCTACGTCAGACACGGGAGGAAATAAGAGACTGCATATTGTTGTGCACGAGAGAGAGATATATATTTAGTGATAAAGTGTGTGTGTTTGATGCAGAACATGAGATAGATAGATAGATAGATAGATAGATAGATAGATAGATAGATAGATAGATAGATAGATAGATAGATAGATAGACAGACAGACAGACAGACAGACAGATAGATAGATATGACATTTGAACCGGAAACGAGATTCTTGTGAAGAAGATCAACAAAAGGCGACTCTCGTCTCGCCAGCGAGAAGCTGCCAACATCATGAAGACTACTATGGCAGAAATGGGCAACCTGTGGGAAGGTTTGTTGTCTGCAGGGCGACTGCCACGTTCTACACACACCACACTCGGTTCACTTAGCTTCTACAGCATCAAACCTTATCACACCCACAGCAAATTTAAGTTTGCAATCAAAAGTCTTTTTCATTTTCATCTTGCGATTCTGTTTTTGTTATTGTTGCTACTACTAAACTACTTGGCCAGCAAAAAACAACAACAAAACACAGTGACAGTAATGACACCTTCACATACTCTATCTTGATATTAAAGTTTAATTTAAACACGCTACACAAACCCAATTTTATGGTAAATTATGATCTTTAGTAATAATTTTCTTCATATAAATGCCTTCGAATTAACGGAGAATGTTAATATATTCAGTTCTAAATCTAAGGAAAAAATAAGCGTCATTGACACAAACTCAAACAATAAACTGTTTGAGTTTCTTACTGGAGTCTTAACTTTACAGCAACTTATATGTATTTTAGGCTCTCCTTTGAATAACGGTCCCAAATGATCTACGCAGAAAGTAAACCCAAACAGAGCCTCATTACGTCCTGCCCTACAAACATTTAAAAGTCGTAGCTCGGAAAAAATAAGGAAGGAAAATTGTACAGAAAAAGGCAAAGTCTACTACTTACCGAAAATTAAATCCTTTATGTGTGAAAATTGTGGCTCAGAAGTTGCAAATAGTGCACGAATATCTGTTCTTTCTCTCTGTCCGCCATTACAACTCAGCACGGCTTGTCCGCGATTCTCATTCCGGGCGAGACATGATCAGTAATGCGCAGTTTAATGTACGTGCATGTCGCCTCAGAACAACTTCAAACCAGCAGCCACCACGATGGCGCTTCACTATCCCAACCACCCCTTGACTGTGGCGAATGCGAGTACGCTGGTACTTCAGACAGAAGTAGCTCCTCTAAATTGTAGACTTCTTTCCCGGCAACTATAGTGCCACCTCTAAGAGTATCCCCCGCGCCGCTACGCACGGCGCAGAAGCGGCTAAACTAGATGGCTGGGACTCACGAGCAAATACGTTGGAGGAAGCTGCAGGAGCTGCGGTAGCTGCTGCTCGTGAGTCCTAGCCATCTAGTCCCTTCCACGCCACACGTAGCGGCATGAGGGATACTCTCGGAGGTGGCAGTATAGTCGGCGAAAAGCGGTCCGGAACTTACATATAACTTGGATAGCGCTATCAGGAGTATTCTCGCGTGTCGCTAATTTTTGTCGTCCGTAGTTAATCCTAGTTTTGCAACCGTTTAATCGCCGTAAAAAAATCCGTTGCATTTCGCGAAAATGTCATGCGCAATTAATCCTACTTTTGACACGGTTGATTCGCCGCAAAGGAAATGCGAATTTTAGATATGAGTGAGGCTCTGTTTGGGTTTACTTTCTGCGTAGATCATTTGGGACTGTTATTTAAAGGTGAGCCGTATTTTATAAGTATTGTAATTTCTCAAATTTTTAAAGCATTCTTAAAAAGGTAGCAAATTTAGCAAAATGACCATCGAAAGCCTCTGTGTCATAAAAAAGAATTTTAAACTCTAGTATTTGTGAAACATGGAAAAATATTTTGTTGCTGATTTTCAGTCCTTTTATTTGTTTTGTACACTTAGCTGTAGTCCTATGTAAAAATATTCTGAATGGTGCATTGTCTAGGCAATGAAGTTTAAATATCCTAGTGCTCAGCAATGCCTTTGTCCAGGCACTGATATTTAAATATCTTGGCTCTCCTCCAAACGGCATCATAATATTATGGCGGCCATAAAATATCTAAAAATATCCGAACGGGGCTCAGGCATGTCTAAAATACGGACTTTCTGCGAAGGAACAAATCGCGGCAAAACTAGGATTTCTTGACAATATCAACATTGCATACGGTAGTAGCAGACAATAAATACTGGCCATTGACAATTTCGAGTGTTTCTGCAGACGATACTTGCAGACGATATTAGCGACCGTTGACTATTTCGAGACATTACAGACGATGAAAGTGATATGGCGGTAGACCATGTGCTCCCACACAGATTAGCAATACTGTTCGTCCGATTGAGGATTTAGCAGCGGTAGATGTTTAGACCTGCCGACCTGTATCCTCACACTTTTTGGCATGCGCAAAACGCGATTAAACTTACCACCGAGAGTATCCCCCGTGCTGCTACGCTACTGTCAGTAGGTAGGACAGTTTACAGTCAGACATCTGAGACATGTCTGTCGATTGGACTTTGGCTCCTGACCCTCAGATTAGTGGGGCCATTGGTAGTGGGCATTTGTACCTTGTCTGTCATATCAATTGACAATTCACTACCATACATCAGAACAGGTGAGAGTCGCCGGGGTATAGAATCTAGATGCTCACCTGCCTAAAGGTGTGGAAAAGGCTTCTTAACTTTTTAAAAAAAAAACAATAGAACAGGTGAAAATCACTTATTTTCATCTTGTGAAAACCAGCATTTACTCAACCAATTTGCTCTTAATCTTAACCACACATCATCCATTTGATGTGATTGCCCTCAGATATTTGAATTGATTGACACTTGGTAGAACTACCCACTTACTGCAGCAATATGTGTTATATATGAGATCGTTGCAATATTGTTTCATTGTTTGATTAATACTGTAATTACTCTTTGATTTTCTTTCTGTGACAGGCAGATAAGTATTTGCTTATTGTGGAAAGGGAGGGGGGGGGGGGGAATTAGAAAATATATATAAAGCCTGATTAATTTTCATCCGTTAGATTTGCGGCGTCAAGCACGGCAACTGGAAAATGAAATTGACCTCAAGCTCGTGTCCTTTAGCAAACTTGGAACGACGTATTCAATGCATAGAGACTTTGTCAGGTGAGAAATCTACATGCATTTTGTGTTATTATTATTTTTTTGTTCAACTATCCTCTCTAAATATAGCACAGGCCCTCAACCAAGTCACGTTAAGTTGTTTTAAAATTTGTTTATGACTGATTACCACGTCAAGCTGTTTGTAGGTTTTTCCGTGACTGGTTGTCATCTTAAGCTGTTTGTAGATGTTTACGACTCATTGTCACATCAGGCCCTTTTCAGATATGTTTATGACTCATTGTCACATCAGGCCGTTTGTAGATATGTTTACCACTCATTGTCACATCAGGCCCTTTGTAGATATATTTATGACTCATTGTCACATCAGGCCGTTTGTAGATGTGTTTATGACTCATTGTCACATCAGGCCGTTTGTAGATATGTTCACGACTCATTGTCACTAAAGGCTCTTTGTAGATATGTTCACGACTGATTGTTGTGTCAAACCCTTTGTAGATATGTTTATGACTCATTGTCACATCAGGCCCTTTGTAGATATGTTCACAACTGATTGTTGTGTCAAACCCTTTGTAGATATTTTTATGACTCATTGTCACATCAGGCCCTTTGTAGATATGTTTACGACTCATTTTCACATAAGGCTCTTTGTAGATATGTTTGTGACTTATTGTCACATCAGGCCCTTTGTAGATATGTTCACGACTGATTGTTGTGTCAAACCCTTTGTAGATTTTGTTGATTATTGATTTAATTTTGAAGCCAGAGTTTTCTGTGGGATTAGCTAGCCGTTCCCATGCTATCTGTCCTGACTGAATCTCCTGACTGACTCTCCTTATTGAATTGGGGAGGGGGAGGGGGGGGGGGGTCCTAGATGGCGCTGGCTGAGGACACAATGAGAAATGTGTGTAGGCTTGATAACATTGGGCGAGGAGAGGAATGGGTCATAATGTCCCAGCAAAAGTCAGACTTGTGTAGGGTTCTGATCACACTGGGCCATGAATGCAGGCACTGGCCAGCAGGTGCCTGGTGTAAAGCAGACTTTGTGATCATGACTCTTCATTCCTCTCTTCTTCTGATATTTTGATGAAATTGGTATTGCTGATATCATTATTTATCATTATTTGTTGTCCAGCTGTTAAAGTTTCCCACATCTATCTTTGACAAGTATTTTTCCCACATGAGGTTAATTTCTTGTTGTCATCTCATCTGTTCATGTGCTTGTAGATTTATAGAGAAGTTTATTAATTGAAATTTTAATAAGTGATTTGATTACCAAAAACCCGCCAGGCTACTTTTTTGATTTTCAACTGCCAAGGGATTTTTTACATGCGTAACAATACACACCGCCGTCCCATCTTACTACCAGGAGACCAGGGGAAAGTGCTAGAAGTCTATGTAAAAAAATCCCAGCTTTCACCAGGGCCTGAATCCGGGACCTCCAGCACTCAAGGCGGATGCCATGCCTCGAGACCACTCAGCTACAAAGTGTTGTGTAGAAGTGACTGCATCATCATTCATCATCTTTCAAGCAATTCACATAAGTGTTTTGTCAGTCTTACTACATCGTCTTTTACGCTCTTCACATTAATGTTTTGTTGATTTTACATCATTATTCAAGCTTTTGACATAAGTGTTGTGTGGAATTTTACTCCATTATCATTCAAAATATTCAGTAAGTGTTCTGTGGATATGACTCCATCATCTTTCAAGCTATTCACATAAGTGTTCTGTGGATTTGATTCCATCACCATCCAAGCTGTTTGCATAAGTGTATTGAATTTGAGCTGTCTAAGGTTTAGCATTTTGCTATAACATTTTCTGCTTTGAGTTTGCTGAATACAAACCTAGTTTGCTGGCTTGTGTTGTACATACAGAAATACACACATAGTAGGGTATGTGGTAGATTGTGAGTGTTCTTCATTTTTGCATAGATGAGCTGCTAATTTAATGTCACTATCAAGTTCTAATGAATAGAACAAATATATCTTACTGTTGTGTTCTCTCTTATGCCATCAGCCTTCCCCTTTCTACTAACATTGCTAACAGTCACGCAGAGTCAAGGTAAGATTTACTACACAGCATGCTCTTTATGTGTTCCACTTGGCTTGCTTGCTCCCCTTGCCTACACGGTCATGGTCTTAGCTTGGCTGAGATTTAGTCAACATTTCCTGCTTCTCCGTGTTACATATGTGAACTGTTCAAGAGAGATGGTTATTTGTGTGTTCATCATCGTAAACCTAAAGGGAAAAGTATGGCGAAAGTGGTAGTAAAACCATGCGACTGACAGAATTAGCTTGTGAAACATTTATACCAGCTCTTCCCCGTGTGGGTTCCAGGGCCCAATCATGGGAAAAACAAGAATACACCCTCTGCCTACCCAAAAGCATGTCGTAAGAGTCGACTAATTAAGGAGCTTCCTTTGAAGTCGGAGTGCATCTGCCTGAGAGGCAAGGAACCAACAGTGTGCATTAAAGTGAATCAGATCTGTAAAACTGATGCACACGCAACACTCAGGTTCTGGAGTAGGACTGCAGTTCAGAAGTGGACGAACAACCAGAACTTTCCACCAGAGTGTACAGCTGGTGAACGCGAAGAAGAAGAGAAGAAGATACCAGCTGTAAGCTCCCAGTTCTAGTTGAGTACTGACATTCTCATTGATTTGTGTCTTGTGTGGTTGCATGCACACCCAGATTGATGGACAAGTAGATAGGTAGACATATAGTTAGATGTGAAGGGGTCATTATATCATAGTGACTACTGCACTCGACTTTTGCATGGTTGGTGTTGTTTTTACAGGCCAACCTCAAGCCCAACCCTTACCTTAGTCGTCTCTTACAACATGCCTGGTAGGTGCAATGTCACTTTTCTTTGCTTCCTGTGAGGGCCCCGGTAGCACACGGTAATACAGTGTTATTCACAAACAAATGATAACGATGAATCAATGAGGAATTACATGCAACTTCAAAATATTGTAAATAAAAAAGAAAGGGCGATATAAAAATTGAATGGGTGACGTCAATGCTAAGATAGGATTAGATATCACAGGTTATGAAGAATTTATGGGAACACATAAACTAGAAGTAATGAATGCGAATAGAAAATTATTCACCAATTTGAATGCTGGTAACTAGTATGTTATTGGTGAAATCATTTTCCCATATAAAAGTATACACAAGGCAACATGGGAATCACCAGACCATAAGACAGCCAATCAAATTGATCATATATGTATGAATAAAAAATATATAGAACATCCCTGTGTGATGTTACGGCTTTTAGAGGTACCAATGTATTTACTGACCATTTTCTATTGGTAAGTAAAATCAAGTTGAAACTTAAAAGACATATAACATCTTATAATCATAGAAACTAGTATAATGTAGGATATCTTAATAATGTAGGATATCTTAATAATGTAGGATATCTTAGGGATAAAGAAGTTAGGGAACAGTTTTCAGTTACAGTCTCTAATAAGTACCAGGTGTTGCAGCAGTTAGTTGATGAGGTAAACATTGAAGTCTGTTGGGGACAAATCAGGGAAATTTGGAATACATCTTGTGTAGAAGTCTTTGGTTTAAAAAAACAACAGAAACATGAGATGTAGATAACGCCTGAAACCATAAAAATGATCGAAGAAAGTAAAAGTAAAAAGGCAGACTTAAACAATAGCAAAACTAGAGCTGTCAAAGCTAGAGCTCAAGAAAAATACACAGAAGCTAGTAAAGAAGTTAGGAGGCCATTAAGATAAAAGATAAAAGGAAATATTTAAATGACCCAGTACAAAAAGCGGAGACAGCAGCAGCAAAAGGAAACCTCAGAGACCTTTACAGTAACACAAGGACATTAAGTAAAAAGTAAAGTAAAGATCTCTTTTCACGCCTTTAGGCACATTGTAAATATGGGAAGAGCGTCCCATATTTTCACAGACCAATTGACACTGGGTGGGTAATGTAGTCAGCATTACACCGGCCGTCTTTACTTCCCCAGGACAGCCATTCTGGTACCCATTTTAGGATGGGTCGACCTGCCACGCCCATACCATGATAAAAATCCACGCAGCCAGCAGGGGTTTCGATCGCAGTATTTGGAATTACGAGTCGGACTTGTAACGCCTAAGCCACGGATGCCACACAAGGAAATTAGTAGGTAAATGTATTCAGCTAGTTGGATCAATCAAAAATAGTAAGGAAAAGTACTCACAAGCACTAAAGATCAAATGGACAGATGGGTTGAATATTTTGGAATATTTCTGAATAGACCAGCCCCGAAGGTCCCTCCAGATATCCAGCCTTTAGAAGTGGAACTGGATATCCACTGTGAGATATCATTTAAACAGGAAATTAGAAAAGCTATCAGTCTTATGAAGAAAGGAAAGGTGGGAGGTCTAGATGATATCCCAGCAGAAGTTATTAAGGCCAACATAAAACACATCAACAGAATGGCTGCACAAATTATTTAGTAAAGTCTGGGAGACTGAAGAAATACCAGCTGACTTGAGAGAAGGATATCTTGTGAAACTGTTCCCCACCCCCTCCCCAGATAAAATGGTGATCGACAGGAGTGTGAAAACTATAGAGGAATAATGTTGCCGTCAGTTCCTGGAAAACTATTAAGAAGGAATATTTTAGAAAGACTAGAAAATGCTATTGATAAAAAGCTAAGAGATGAACAGGTAGGTTTTCAACCAAACAGATCCTATACTGACCAGATAGCCACATTACGTATAATAATAGAGCAAAGCATTGAATTGAATTCACCACTTTACATGGATTCATGGACTATAAAAAAGCTTTTGACAGCATTGATAGGGAATCTCTATGGAAATTAATGGGGCACTGTGAGAGTTCGCAGAAAATTATTAACTTAGTAAAAGCAACATATAGACATGAAATGTCAAGTTCTATATGAGGGTAACAAGTGCACTTGAAATAAAAACAGGTGGGCGACAGGGATATCTTTATTCACCTGTTCTGTTTTTACTGGCAGTAGACTGGATTACAAAGACAGTGACTGCTAATGCCAGGAATGGAATTCAGTGGACTTCTACAAAAAAAGCTTGAAGATCTGGACTTGGCTGATGATATTTCTCTTCTGTCCCAGTTATGGAATCAGAAGCTAGATAAATTAAATATGCTTGGTAGATCACAACAACTAGGTCTAACAATCCATAAGGAAAGCAAACATAATGAGAATAAATCAGTCAAGTAGTAATGATGTTTCTCTTATTAATGGTATCCCACTCCAGTATGTTGAGTCATTGACCTATTTGGGCTGTAATATAGATAAAGATTGGGGAACTTCTAGAGATATTAAAATAAGAATACAAAAGGCAAAAGCTTTCATTGCGCTAGGAAATTTGTGGAGGTCAAAAGAAATTAAAACTAATACTAAAACATTAATGTTTAATTCTAATGTCAAATCAGTACTGTTGTATCGAGCGGAAACATGGAGAACAACTAAAACAGTTACTAATAAACTAAAAACATTCATTAACTGGTGCTTACACAGAATATATATATCTTAAGTGGTATTATAGAATCACTATTGTTGAGTTTAGGGAAAGAAATAAACAAGTTCCAGTTGACCAAGAGGTGAAGAAAAGATGCTGGCGTTGGATAGGACACACCATAGAAAACCTGACAATATAACTAGAATGTCTTTGCACTGGAACCCACAGGGGCATAGAAATAAAGGCAGACCAACAAACACATGGAGAAGGGAGCTAGAGAGTGAGGTTAAAAAGATGGAGAGGACATGAGGTGTGCTGCCTACAATAGCGAAGGATAGAATAACTTGGCATGAGTTGATTGAGGGTCTATGCTCCATTGGGGGATATAAGGCTGACGAAAAAGAAGCAATTTTTCTTCTTCTTCTCCACTATTTACCTCAGCGAAGTATTTGGGGGGGAGGGGGTAAGAATCGTTTGTGTGCTTTTTCCAATGCATTGTACAAGTTTTTGTTCATTTCTGTTAAGTTGCTTTTGATGATGATGCTCCATCTCTTGCATGGTCTTCTGCTTGCTTTATATTTATTATATTTCTTCAGCGTGGCTCTCTGTGGCTGTTGGTACCAGGGCATTCTCGTCAGGTGGCCAAACATTCTCCTTAATTGCTTTTTAATGAATTGTATGACTGGTTTCAGTCCTAGTCTTCTTGTAATTTCTTCATTCCTGATTTTGTCTCTTCTTGTCACACCGGCAGCTCTCCAAAGACATCTCATCTCTTTTGTTACGATCTTCCACTCATTAGTTGTAATAAGGGTCCCTGTTTGGCACTGGTAGCACAGTGTCAGCCGAAAAACAGTTCTTATGAGATTAGCTTTGGTTGACATCTTTTTATGCGTCAGAAGCAGTGTTAATTGACCCACAACCTGATTGGCTTTCACACATCTATGTTGATTTTTCTTTCCATTCTTCCATGTTTGCTGATTCTATATCTTCTTAAGATATGGAATCAGCAGAAGAAATGAACTTACTTACCCGAACCCACACAGGGAGGAGGCTAGCATAACATTGGTCACATTACTTATTTTGGATTTCTGGCCAAAATGGCCAATAGTTGGTTGACTACGGACAGTATGAAAACTTACTTCTTTCCAGCTAGGTTTTGCTGTTTCACCTTTCATTTTTTTCTGGACTGGGAGTCCAAAGGTTCCATCGCCCAGATACTGAGCTGAGTGTTTGGTGCGACACTGTGAGCTATGGGTTTCATACACAATGTTTTTTCCTGTTATGCTTACAGCATATTGCTGACTGCCCTAAAATAGTTGGTGGCCGATTACGCTCAGAATCGCATGTCCTATTGAATAGCGTGCTTTTGTGATTGACCGTTTGCTAGCTGCAATTCTAATGTGACACATCTTCAGCTGCCTTATGCATTTTATTAGTTTGCATATGCAAGCTTCAAAAACTGCTGGAACTGACACATTTTTTGTATAACTAGTTTTCAAATGGGACAGTGAGGAAAATTTGTTGTGATTTCCACTGGCACAGGAATAGAATAGTTATGGGGTGATGTTGGAACTCGACTAGTGATGTTACCCATTGACTACTACATGGTTTG